TTATAGTATCTGGACCTTTAAAGGAAAAAACAGGATGATAACGAATTAATTTGACAATCCCTCCCCTAACTCAGCCTTCCATTAGTGTGAACAATTTTTCTCAATCTTCAACCCATGCCTCGTTATCTTTCCCTAAACTATGAGCAAACTTTTTATTGCCTAAGTAGACACACGCGTGCCTCAGACTTCCTCCCTCACCAAACACTTTTATAATATCTAGAGGCTTAATGTAAGCATCTGGGTTATATCTTGCCGAACTAACAGGCAATTCATATCTCTTTATTAGTTCTTCTCCTCACTTGACAGGGAAATTGCTGCTGTGAAAATCTTTGGTTAAATAAACAAGCACTCCCTTGTCATCAGAAAAAGTTTTGTAAAAAATTGGGTAGATAACTAATTTCTCTAACAGATTTTTTATGCCACCTTTAATATTTTCTAGACTATAATCACTAGTTACATTAAAAAATTCCAACACCTCTTCCATATTACCAGAAGGCATTTCGTAAACCATTATTCACATTGTATAATAACCTTCACCATTAATAAAAATGCCTATATTATTATTTCATGGAAGAGAAGTGAAAGTTATATGCTGGTTCTTTCGGGGTATCTTACCTTTGTTTCTCTCAAATATTTTGTTATAATATCAAAGTTTTTTAAAGTCTCATAGAGCACATTCAGGATAATAATCACATACTCCAAACCTTTTGATTACTTCTTTTCAGTCATAACTGATATCACCACTGTTATATCAATTCTGTAATGATTTTTTTACCATATTTTTAATTTCATTAATATTTTTCTGTATATTTCGTTTTAATTTGAAAGTGGGTGGTAATGACATCGATTTGACCAAAGAATTTTCGCCAGAATTATTATCATTAAATCAAACTGACTTAGAACTAGATGAAATAAAACCAGCCATTAGCCCAGAAGCTCTGAATAAAGCCTTAAAACTAGATCCCAAAGGCAAAGGGGTGGCAGAAGATTTTCCTTTTCCTGGTGGTCGAATAATTCCTAACCAGTATCCACCGCTAACCATGAGAGAATGAATAAAACCTAACTCTGACACTTCCAAGTTTAGGGTTAGTGGGAATATCGTAGATAACTCTTTTGATACCGCTAACCCCGTGCAGGATGAAAGAATTGAAAAAGGAGCAGCCGTAAAATCAGCTCCCACCGGAGGAGGAAAGTCGACTACTCTTTTAAGATGTGGGGCTTTTCGAGGACTGAGTAATGAAGAAGTGGATGCTTTATCCGAAGCCGATCGAGCCAAATTAGGAGTTAGTTTAGTAGTTCCTGAAAAATCCTTGGTGGGTTCGGTTTTAAGCGGTCACAACGACTGGCTATCAGATGAAGCAGCGGCTCTAGACAGTATTAAAAAAATGGAGCAGAAAATTACTAATCAAGAACGGAAAGCAAATGGTGAACTTTATACCGAAGACGACATTGACTATCGAGTAATTAAGTGTCCAATCTGCTATAAAAAACATACTGCTGTTGGTGACAAACCTTATGAAACGGTCCATAACGGAGCCAGCAATATGATTAATGTTTTCTTCTGAACCGAATTTTTAGATGCTTATGTTAATAATCCGAGCATTATTAAACCATGAGTATATTTCGATGAAACTCATTTAAAAATACCGGTTATTTATCGGACTTTAATTACCTGTTTGATAGGAGGATTGGTAGACAACAAAGAAAAGGAACTACATCGTAATGTCCGAAAAGATCAATTTAGTGTGCTGCTTTTATCAGCCACTTATCTCAAATTACCTACTTCCATACAACTGTCGAGCAAGTATGTCAAGGATTATTGCTTAAATAATTTTACTAAAATGGCTGACCTCAAAGACGAAAAGGACCCATCAAAACCAAGACATCCTAATCTTTTTAAACGAAAATTATTAATCTTTGTTGATAAGCCAGAAAAGGATGAAAACGGTGTCCCGATTGTCTGGAAGAAGCCAAAGAAGGGAGAAACTGGGAAAAAATTTGACAAAATAGATGTGGAATTATTAGAAAAAGATACGAAAGTCATAATTGCTAATAATGCTTTACGACCCTATATCACTGATATCATTAAGACTTTGGAGCCTCCATTAATTTTTGTTCTTTCCAGTGCTTATGAGATGGGATTTAGTTTTGGCGATGTTGACTGCATTACCACG